TAATATAATAAACTATAGATATATATAAACTAGTAGTAAACTATAAATAACTAAGTATTATCTATATAGTAATAAACTCTTATTTAATATTATAAATAAACTAAGCTATTAGGGGATTTATTACTTTAGTTAACTATTAGAGCTATTTACTCTAAAGAACTTATATTAAACCCCCTAATATATTTTTATATTACTTAGAGTTATATAAAACCTATACTAAGTAGATATATAAAGCTATATTATAAGTCTCTTCTTCTATTCCTTAGTAATATTATTTTAATCTCTTATAAGATTTATTAATTAATTAGTATAGAGATAAAGTAACTAACTAAGTTAGTAATACCTCTATAAGTAAATTAACTACTATAGAGGTATTAGATATACACCTTATATCTCTATTATATAGTTATATATTTAAATACTACTATAACTATAATAATTAATAGTAATTAAGGTATTAGCGATAGGTTTAATACGTTTTACGTGTGATATAGTAAAATACACGTTATAGTATAAAATTAGCTTTTTTTTATGTTTTTGTATAAGCGGGGAAAAAAAGGGGGGGCGGACGCTGTTAACGTAATAGACTGTAGCTTGGATATTGGGTAAATTAGCTTTTGAGGCGGCAGCGGCTGACTTGATGCATAAGAACCCCTGTTCATATTTGGAGACCAGTAACGCAATCACGCACCAATCGCGTTTCCGTGTAACCAAAGACAACGTGGAATACAGAATATGAGATATGATTAGGTATTGAACGAAAGATTTGTTGGTCGTAAGCACATTGCAAGTATTTTGATGTTCATACCATGGTCTAGACTATAGGTACAGGTCAGGCAATAACTCCTCGCCTTGGGAAAGGGACCAGAACACTTCTTTTCTTTTTATTCGTTTTCTACCTGCCGATGGACCCCAGCTTGCGAATTGAATTTGATAAACCCCTTGTTTGCGCGCCCAAAATGTTGTCGAAGACCGTCGCAAGCCCCTTGCAGGACAATCTCGGCCTTCGAGGGGCTGCTATTGCACGACTCGGGCAACCTGACCGTCACCATGGAATAACTCATCGTCGGATATCATTCCTCGATGAATTGGAATTTTCCCAATCTCTTGTGCATTAATTGACTGGGTTCATTATTAAGATACACCAGCTTCCACAACTTTCAGAGATGTATGGAGATAACAGCGTCGCTAACATGAACTTTGTAAGCCGTGCAGTCCTCTATATACCCGTACCATCAAACTGACAGCATCAAGCATCTCTTTCTCAAGCTTCCGGTCGAGCTTCGCGTAATGATCTGGCGTTTAAGCCTTCCGAGGACCCGAGTCGTATCAATTCGATGTAGCACAACCTCTCTCTTCGAAACGAACGATTCAAGCTGGGGGACCTCGCCAGCAATGATACCAGCCAACTTACACACCTGCCGCGAGTCGAGGCAAGAGGCTATGCGATACTATAACTTGCGTTTCGGGGTAGCTGGTCCCCCCAAGATATTTTTCGATCCTCGAATAGACATACTGCACTTCGGTCCGGCGAAGGGATTCATGGCATCATCCGCGCATTATTTTACTGCCATGTCTCTGTGCAATCCGACGGACTTAGGTGCCGTCAGATACTTAGCGATCGACGACTCCATACTGGGCAATAGCACAGTCAAAGGCGCTGCCTCTAATTTGGCTGCGCGAGCCATCCGACAACTTGCAATGCGCATGCCGGAGCTGAAGGGGCTGGTGTTCGTGCGAAACCAAGCTACTTCTATTACCATCAAAGAGGCGGAAGATCATTGCATAGAACTTCAAAGACTGATTGATAGCGCTATGGGCGAGGTTTCTAGCGAGTTTACGGACTGGGAAGCTCCTCCGTGGTGTACGGCAAAGGTGGCATCAGGTACAAATGCTGCGAGAGGTCAGACGTAAAAGATTCTAGACAATAAAACCGAATCAGCTATAAAGAATTTGCATCGTGTTGGGCTCCGGTGATTCAATACCTCCGAGTCGTCACTTGAAGTCCATGCATATTCCTGAAAGCAGCGTTGAGCCACAGTTGTCCGAGTGTCGAGAACACTATCCCGCCAGATTCGTGGGGTGGTCTTCGTGCGAATGCAAACAGAGTACGTAGGCCTGAATCGTTTTCAGCTGTCATTATCAACCATGTGTTTGTGTATGAGCTCAGCTTCAGCTTTGATGTACCCATGGACGGGTATGCCTAGTTCCGACAGCGTGATATAAAGGTGAAGTGAGCTTCCAGCTGGACTGTATTCCTGCATCAATACCGACCACCACTTATTTCGAGGCTGCTTTTACCCTACAAAATATGTCTCTTGTTCACATCAGACCCAGACCAGAGCCTAACGGACCAGTCATCAGAGAATTATTTCATTCCGGAGCTGCGGCGTTTATACGACGAATACTTCGGCAATGCGCTGCTCAATCATACCGGGAGTTTTTGATTGACATCTTGGCGGCGCTTTCACCTGAATCTGTGCGGAGAATTTCTCTGTTCTGGCAGAGGATTGGGTATAGTCACAAGGACTGTATCTACCTAGACGTTCGCAACAAGCTCTGGAAAAGAGATAACTTTGCCGAGATGGTGAGAACAGAGGCTGCTATTGTAAGTCTGCCAATTTGATAGGGTGGCATAAGAATATCGCTAATAAACAGTCTTAGATGCACATGTGGTTTGTTATTGCGGTCCTGGCAAGCGGTGATGGTGATGGCATGGAGCCTGTTGACGCCGTTGTGCTTGACCTTGCACGACGCAGTTATTTGGAAGCTCAGGAGACATTTCGACAGGCTGGTTTCTGGCTTTCGAAGTCACGATGAGTATCCATGGATGCTGGTGGTTCCTCGTGGTTCACCTTCCACGTCATTTGTGCTCATTGGCATGGTCGTTCTTTGCCATCATTACCTTTCAAGGCTTTGTAAAATAAACTGTTGATCTGATGTACTGTTCTACAATCCAGGATGGATTTCACTTCACCAGATCAAATCCATGGAATCTGGCGTAGAGCTGAGCATGCCCCTTTACGCACACGGGGAAAACAAGAGATGGGGAAAGATGCGGGCAGCACCATGCGTTGACCACATCCCCCTCCGCCTAGGGTGGCATCATCAACCGACGCAATGTCTCAGCTCGAATGTTACAAGGATCCATGCGAGGCCCTGTTGGGCTGGTAGTGTCTGCCCAATTACCCATCATCCTAGCGCTACGCAAAACAAGCTCCAGCCGCCCTTCCACGCGGCGTTCAAGGTTCGGTCGAGAACGGCATGCCAATTCTACTAATTCGTCGCAGGTTGACCATAGCGTGGCGTACGTAGAGTTCGGGATCCTTTCACCGACTTCCACTCCCTTGCTCATGGTCGCTAATCGGCATGGGGCATTGGCATTCGAAATTGTACGACATGTCGCCGCCAGAAAGCTGCATATGCCCAATCTTAGGATCGCAGAAGTCCCAGTTTCGTTCTTATCAGGAGCTTAGTACACAGCTCAGTGCAGCTTCAGCCGGTTAAAGGATCAGATATATAAGGCTTGCGGTGTTTGAGGTAGGACGCAAATGTACGGCGTGGAGAACCTGGTGCAAGATCCCAACTCAGCAGCGACACGCTATTCTGCACTCACAACATGAACCATTATCAACGATACCGAAGAATGACCGACGATGAAGAGAGAGCTTCCAGCCGCTTGTACCCGGCTGTCAGAGACGAGCTTTGCGAACGCTCAGGGGTGTACACGTTCCAGGAAGGATCAAACATTGTCATCAAGCTGGCAGAAAATATTACAATGCCAAAGCAAAGATTTTTCAGAATCGTTGCAGAGTACAAAAGGTTGAGAGCTCTTCGGCACAGTACCAGTCGCTGCCCAAAACATTCGGCATTTCGATCCTCTCCGCTGAACCCACACAATGACACCACCTGACAACAACTCGAGGACAAACACCATGAGCAACTACGAGGAAGGGCTGCTGTAACGATGCTACTTTTACTCATTGGAATGCGGTTGCAGCCTCCTTGTTGGATGTGGGTCTGCACCAGCAGGACAGCTGCAACCTGACGTTTTCGGAGATATTATTCGTGTGGTGTGGCAAGAAGTCTTAGCAATCTCGGCAGATTCAACAAGTTTCCAGTTGGCGTTGACTGACACAACCTTTCATCCCTGGAATAAAGACCGCCTCAGTACATTACTAGCCATACACAAATGATCATCTACAATTTCGTCCCTCCATCTGTTCGCTTGTTTGCGGTTCAAGAAAGGCTTGCGCTTCACGCCCGCAAGCTCTCGCTCAAGTAGACACGAACAGAGGTATACGGGGCGCATGCCGGTTTGGCAGGATGATCACTACGGAGCGGGGCTTCCAATGCTACCTTAATCCCCGAACACGGGATTAGGCCGGGTTCCCCGGCACGGGCATGTCAAGGGTCGGTCCAACCGGCTCCTAATGATTCCCTCTGTCCGCTGCAGGTGAGACGCACGTCAATGTACGGCACGATGTCTCAACGTCTGTGCATACGTCCGTAATTGTGGAACATTTGCATTTCTGTCACGACATCCCGTGAACGGAGGTAGTCTGTTTACGGTCTTACCGCAGCATGCTTCCACTGAGAATGGGGCCGCGAGGATCTCGCACTCGGACTTGGGACGGCAGCAGTCAGCTTCAGCTCTAGCTAGGAGTTTCGGAACAACTTTCATGCTCGTTCTCATTCACTGCTTCTTCCCCTGTTCCGAGTCAAGTCGAAGGCAAAATGATCGGACCGAACTCCCGAGGGTCTGATCTGTGCTGGCGCCAGCATGAGACGGAGTCTCGCACGATTGCAAACTATTTAAACAATTTCTGAGATCCATGGATATAATTCCACCTTCTGGTTCATGTCGATCCTATATCAACCTCTAGTCATACCCCGCTCGGTAGCTAGATAATACTACGGACCTTCGCCTATTAATCCCGTGCATCTCAAATGCCATTTCCACCCTAAAGTCATTTTCTATTTTTGGCTAGAACCTTTCTCATTTCTTTGGAAGACAGGAACTTCCGGATATCATTGACCATGTCATCGGGACATTCAAGAGCTGGAAAATGGCCGCCACGTTCATGCTGGCGCCAAAAGGTGATATTCGCAAGTTGCTTAGCCCAATCCTTTGGGCACTACAGACGCAGAGTTAGCGAAGTAAACACAACACATTTGTCTGAATTGTACTGACTGGCAGGGTCTCTCCGGGAAAGATGCTCACGCCCGTGAGAACCTTGAGATGCCCGTCAAAGGCCTTATCAGCTTCCCGCTTATGTCCAAACGCCTCTCTGAAGAAGCGCAAACCTGGGGTTGCCCCTTGGATCCAGTGCATCATGACCAAGTTGATGACGTCGTCGTTGCTCAACGCTTCGGGTACATCTACCCAAGATTGAAGCTTCTCCACGAACCACGCCAGCAGACCAATGGGGGAGTCGCCGAGTGCAAAGCCCAAAGTCTGAGGCCGTGTTTCCTGCATGTCGATGTATGCGCTCTGGTCTCTGTGAAAGACACTGCGAGTCCTCAAAAGCCTCTTTTCGTACTTCGAGTAGAGTACCCTAGACATATGCAAGCGAAAATAAGCAAAGGGCGCAGCACCGAAAGTTGGAGTGGGGGCCGGGAACGTATTGAAATGTTGCGCTCGTACAACACTAGGGTGCTGAATTGCGATCCAGCGAGTGATGAAAGCGCCAAGATCACCTCCCTGAGTTACGAACCAGGGGTAGTTCAAGACGTCAGTCATTAGGACTCTGAACGCACGAGCGACCACTGCAGGGCCGACTCCCGACCTCAAAGGGGCAGGTGAGAAGCCAAACCCAGGTATGGATGGCACAATAACGTGGAATGATGGGCAATTTTCGTTTTCGGGATCGGTCGTAGTCAACTTCTCAATGATCCTGCTAGCTTCAAGAAAGGATCCTGGCCAGCCGTGAACAAATAAGAGCGGGATGGCGTCCGGGTTGGGCGACTTAGTGTGGGTATAGTGCAGTGTGACCAGGCCATAATCAGGAACTTGAATTTTGACAAGGAAATGATTGAACGTATTGTTTATTCGCTCCTATGGCTAGTTAGCCTCAAAATTATGAAGAGAACGTGACAGAGGTGAGCCGTGGGGAACCTGCCTCTTGGTCTTTCCAGTTGTACTCATTTCTCCAATATTCCGCCAGTTCCCGAATGCGGGCGACCTTTGCACCTTGAGACCAGTCATCATCAGCGAAATCCGTTTGCTCTTCGGGAAATCTGCAGTGGAGAAGCTTCTGCTCCGTGACTTTCAGAAGCTCTGAATCGATAGTGACGGAAAAGGCAGTCGGATGGTTTAGCTCGAGTTGACAGTCTTCGACAGGAAGCTTGGGCAACATCATGCCCCGACCAGCTGCTCAGTCGCCGCTTCTATGGTTTTGGTTCCAGAATTGTAAGAATATTGCTCGATTTGGAAGGTGGGTGAGTTGGAATAGGTAGAGACTCCAAATAACTCCCCGGGACAGAAATGCGCAGCTAGACAAAGGGAACGTACCATTTACTCCGAAGATCCGAATGCAAGGTTCTGGGGGATCAAACTATCAATGCATGAATCAATGTCACTGTCAACAACCTGTAGCGCTGACGATACTTCTGTTGTTCCCGCGTTTCGGTCTGCTCTATTCCCTTCGCATTGAGTTGGCTTGCCGTTGTCCCGCATAATCGACCAGCCGACCCAATGACGGCCACAATTCGGAGTTGCCAATGAGACGAATACGTTCAGACAGAATCTGGCGCCACCTAGCACCGTAGGGAAATGAGAGATTCATGCACTACACTTGGTGCATCCTTAGTAATCGCCCTCTGGAAAAAAAGGATGAACCACTTCAGCTGAAGAAAAGGAAATCGTTCGCTGACGGACATGGTATGCACCGGGCAACGTCACCTGATCTATCAGACTGTGATTGGAACCCTTCAAAGACTCGACCATCATCCAGACGATGTTCGTCTTTTTACTGGACCTGGCGCTTGCGCTTGCACTTGCACCTCCACCTCCAGAATCCGGTCCCCACTCGACCGATCGGGCCCTGCCGGCCGGCATCCGACCCCACTCCGGCTTGTATGTTTGGCTCTTGGTGTCGACCGGCCCGCAAATTGCCATCCGGCCGAGACCGATTTGTAATGTTTTCAGCCATCAACCCCGCAGCAACAAGACACGCGATTATCCAGCCTTCATGACGTATTTCTGATGAGCAAGAACGGACTACGCACCTTGAGGGTGTGATATATACCGGACCAACGTCCGTCTACTATCTCTCCATAGCCACCTCACCCATTTCCCTTCACTCTCCATTGTCATCGATAGGTTGTCTTTTTGTCAAATTATCCAAACATGAGTGGAAAAGAATGTCAAGCGCTTGTGGTTGAGGTGCCTAACGGTAAACCATCGTTGGTCAGGAAGTCAATCCCGATTCCCCAGCCGGCATCTAACCAGGCTCTTGTGAAAATCTCACACATCGCACAGAACCCTACAGACGGCAAGTATATGACCCAAATCTTAGAAAGTGATGCGTAATTCTCACATCGGCTCTAGTCCAGTCTTTTGACGGGAATGCCTTTGGCGATGGTGCGGTCCTCGGGTGCGACTTTGTCGGAACAGTCGAAGAGACAGGTGATCAAGTGAACAAGCTCAACAAGGGCGACATCATCGCTGGGCTGATTTGGGGAGGTATGTTGCCTTGGAAGCGTGATACAGACAACTCTGACTTTGTAATAGGAGAAATCAAAGGCGTCGGAGGGTACAGCGAGTACACTGTGGCCGACAACGACATCAGCTTCCGGGTCCCGAAGAACATCAGTCTCGAGGAGGCGGCCACATTGCCGCTTGCTTCCATGACATCATGGCTCGCATTGTTCTCCAAGGATTGTCTTGCGATTCCTCGAGACGGAGGGAAAGATATCTGTGTCCTTATCTGGGGCGGCAGTTGTGAGTTTATTTATCCTTAATATCGGTACAGGCGTGCTCTAACTAATGAAAAATAGCGAGCGTGGGACTTTACGCAATTCAGATTGCCGCGCTTCACGGGTTCAAGGTCATCACAACGTGTAGTCCACGCCACTTCGATCTCGTCAAGGACCTCGGTGCGAAGCATGCCTTCGATTACCACGACGATAATGTTGTCGAGTCTATCAAGCAAGCGGCACCTGGTCTTAAGTACGTCTTCGACACCATCGGCAACAAGTCCTCGTCAGGCTTGGCGTCTCGAGCAATTGATGAGAGAGGCGGCCTTTGCACTGTAAGACCCGGAAAGGCGAACACTGAGGATGTCACCAAGCAAACTAAGGTGACCGATGTGCTTGTCTGGACTGCATTTTTGAAGGACCATCGCTACGGCAGTTTCCATTGGCCGGTAAGTCGTCCTTGTTACATACATATAGAGTCGCATTTCTTTCAGTAACTGACCAAGATAGGCGGATGAGGCGGACCACAAGCTTGGGACTGAGTTCTTCGAGCAGCTTCCGGGTTGGGTCGAGGAAGGCAAGATTAAACCGAATAAGCCCAAGGTCATTCCTGGTGGCCTCGACGGAGTTCACAAAGGATTCCAGGAGTATCGTGATGGCAATATCTCAGCCACGAAGCTCGTGTATAAGATTTGAACTATTGCTGATGGCATGAGGGGCATCACACTCGGCATGTGTATTTCGACCCAACACTGATCTGAAGAATTTCTTTTTGGAAATCCCTGGTTACATGCAGACCGTTTTTTTAGGAAGCACATTCAACTACCTATGAATAAAGCTGCCGAAAATGAAACCGAAACTGGAAGACAAGGAGCAGCATCGTAGTGAAATTTGGTCCCAGAAGGTTGCGGCTGCTAGAGCCAAGAAAGTTGAGAAACTGAAAAGCCATAATCATTCTGCCCTCCTCTCGCCTACCATCAATCCTACTTTCACCTCCTCAGCTGGTGTGTCTGCTCGGTGCTGTGTAAGGCTCTTATCCCCCGCCACAGCAGCTTTCTGGGGCGTGTGATCCAGGAGGACTATCTTGCTCCCGTTTGCGCTGCTCCATTTCTTGCTCGACATGGCAAGATCACTGTCCTCAGGGTACAGAATTGTTGTGAGAATTCTGCCAACAGTCAGTTGCTGAAGACGACGTCGAAGAACATTGATAGTCGATGATTGAGAGATGGAAGTCACGATCAGGACGAGCATGATCGACAACATGACCAGCAGTAGAAGGAAAGCCGGGATTCCGAACGCGTAGTGATACTTAATCCTCCGTCCGAACACCTGGACAGAGATGCTGACGGCCTCGTCTGGTACGTCGTTGATGGAACCCAGTGCTCCCTTTGTTCCAACCACCGCTGACGCCGCAAGATCGGTCCAAAGGAGCTTTATGACTTCTGATATGCGGGTCGCATTAACAGAAAGCGATTGCCACCGTTCGAAGATGGGCATGTTCGACGCGCCTGCCAGATCGAAGGGCCACTCCTTACCGAGAGCTCCTCTGTCAGGACTGTAAGGCAAGAGGAGTTTCATCACGCTTGATGGAAAGTCGCTACCGGGTAGGTTGTACGTTGTGGACCCAAGAGAGGGTTCAAGCTGGCTGAATGAAAGCGAGTCGGAATATCCTGGGATGTGAAACTCCGGCTGCCTGACGGTTGAGACATTAGGGCGAGAAGCGTACTCAGGTGAGATTATACCCCAGATAGGACTGATGCCATCCATACTGAGGCCCGAATCTTCCATGCCCCAAAGGGGGTACTCCTGGGGACTGCTGTAGTTCTTTGGCCTGATGGACGTGACCTTGAGACTGCTGAGCCCATCAGTGCCGTTGACGGTAAAGGTGACTGTCTTTACTATTGCCCGCACAGCCGCAGCGCAAGAGTGAAGGGGAGAAGACCATTTGCTGTGGTTCTCATACACAGCCAGCTTGCTACCTCCATCAACCCTCTGTGGCACACCTCGAAGCAGGCCGCATCCAACGTAAATGTGTGAGATGTTGGCGAGATCTGCGTTCCCGGCGCCGCTGCAAAGTATCTCAACATCTGAGAAGTTTTTGTCATCAACGCCGAATGGATTTGACCAGTTTGCAGCTGGGTTTGCACCAATAGTAAAATGGTTGAGATCCAGGTAACTGCCGAATCTGCCGAGCCCGAGCCCTCGGTAGTTGGTAAGAACGTTTACATCGAGCGGGAACTCTTTACCCAGGTGGGAGTCAACGTATGACCATGCCTTCCTGCCGACAGTTTTGTTACTCGTCGCCGTCACGTTCAAATATGCCATAGTCCAAAAGTTATTGAGCCAGGCTCCTTTGTAGGCTCTTCCATCCAAGTCTGGATTTGCCTGTGTGTTCTCACTGTTGTAGAATGGGTACGTGCGGTTGATGTTTACGAACCCCCCGCGGTCGGTGAGCCTGAGTTTGTCAATGCTCGGAGAAGGGACGGTGTAATTGACTTCGAAGTCGAGCGTCAAGTTCAGCCCAACGCAACTCGAGATTGGCTCAACGAACAGCAGGTCTTCAGACCAGCTAGCCCCTTGATCGATGTTGGTGGGTATGGTGTGGTTCCGGAAACCGATGCCACCGTTAGCCGCGTCAACAATCAAGCCTTCAACGACCTTGATGCTCGGATCCATGATGTGGCTCTCTAGTTGACGGTATGCGCCGACAGCAACCTCGGTGCCGTTATCGACGAAGGCCCGTCTGCTGGTTGTAAGCTGCCGCCATTCAATGTCGAAAAAGTTTGAGATGGTTGTGCGGCCTCTTGTTCCGCTGGAGAATATCTCCTTCGCGATGGGGTGGATCTTGGAATCGATGCCGAAGGGCATGGTGAAGTTCAGGGTGCGGTTGCTTCCGCTGACAATGACGCTGCTCCCAGAGTAAGGGCAGGGTGCCGGCCCTTGATCCAGCAGGCTGTGACCCCAGCTACAAGTACGAGAAAAGTTGTGAAGCCCTCTCTGCGATGTAGCTGCGCCGAAAGACCCGCTGTCTTTGACATACGAGAAGGATCCGAGCCTACTCCCGAGTGTATCGATCTCTTCATAAAGGCCCAGCGGAGTAACAACACCGGCGATGGCGATGAGGACCGCAATGATAGGGACGGCCCAGGAAACGAGAGAGATCCTGAGTCGGGCACCATGGCTTTGGACGGAGTCGGACTGGAGGATGGTGGGCCACCATGTTCGCTGGAGAACACGGCTGGCAATGTTCCTGTATCGATGCTCATTAGTAAGCATTAAGTATTGGGGTACAGAAGGTAGGTAGCTACCATGAGGAATGGAACAGACTTACCAAGTAGCCACGGTCTCTGTGTCTCGGAGGAAACCCGCTAATATCAGAGCGATCGCTGTCGGGCAAAAGATCTGAGCTACAGATCAGGGTCAATACTTGACTACAACC